ATTTTTACAATCTGTCTTAATTAATCAATAAAACAGTTTTATTTTAAATCTGTTTCTGATTGATTAAAGTAATAACGAATTAATCAGACTGCATCTAAAATGTTAACCAAAAAAAAAAGACTAAACTACCAACTAAATTACTAACCAACAAACTGACAATCATATTATGTAAAGGACAGTCCTTAACACTGACCAGACTGCCAACTAAAGAATACAAAATGAAATAAATATCTTTCAAATAACCTCATTAACCAACCAATTAATCACTCGTAAGTTTACTAACCAACAAATTGGGTAGCTTTTAGATAGCAGAACAAATGAAATTTGGCTTCCTCAGGGGAAAGACATAACGGCCTATCAATTATCAAAGTACTAACCAACAGACAGACCAGCCTATCAATTACCAAACTACTAACTAACAGACAAACCAGCCTATCAAGTATCAAAACCAACAGACAGACAAGTCTATCAATTATCAAAACCAACAGACAGACCAGTCTATCAAATACCAAAGTACTAACTAAAAGACAAACCAGCCTAATAATTATCAAAGTATTAACCAACAGACAAACCAGCCTATTAATTACCAAATTACTAACCAACAGCAGCAGACAGATCAGCCTGTCAATTATCAAAACTAACAGACAAACCTATCCCCAGCCTATCAATTTTCAAAGTACTAACCAACAGCAACAGACCAGCCTATCAATTCTTAAAGTACTAGCCAAGCAGTTATCAAACCTAACAGACAGACCAGTCTACCAATTATGAAAAGCAACAGATAGATCAGCCTATAATTATCAAAGTACTAACAGACAGACCAGCCTGTCAACTATCAAAGTTCTAACCATCCTACAAACAAACCAACTACCTGAAAAATTATTTTAAATTTTTCCCCTTTAAAAAAATCTAACAACATTACCCACTAATGTAACCACTGTTTAAGCTGCTTTAAGTTAAAAATGTACTTTTATCTACACACCCAATAACAATCCACAACATCAGTGTTGTGTTTTTTACATATATTTATTTTGCAGTAGCAGATGATGACTGTCACCAACCATTCAACCAACTAACCCCACAAAGACAATTCAATTAGGGAGTTACAAGTTGACTATTTCTGCCCCAGAAGTTGAGCAGCATATGCTCAAGATGAAAAACATCCAAAAATGAGATCATGAATCTTTTTTTCAAAGAGTAACTCTCCTCTGGGAAAGCCAGATTTCATTTTGTTCTCTGATCAAATGTAGCAAGTAAAATATACACATTAAAGGGATGGCTGAGACACAAAAGGAAGATCCAGTCGCACAGTACACATCGTCTGGGACTTAAAGAGATACTATAACCAGTCAGCAGGTAAAATTGATAGTGTGCAATCATTTTTTACTTCTGATCAGTAGAAAGATTCAACAAATACAAGCCTAAAATAAGATCACCTTGTGGTCAGGGTTCACACCCAGGCGTAGGCAGAAAAGCCACATTTCTCCCAGATTCACAGTATCTATCATTGAATCAAGGCCGAAGGGTTCCAATATCTAAAGTACTGAGCCAAAGGTTAACAATTTATGGTTTCTGGATATTTAAAAATAGGGACTAGTTATCAACCAAGATAAGATAGAATACATGATAATAACTAGACAGGGAAAGTATATAAACTCCGGCCACATACAAGTTGATAAGATGAAAATTAAACGAACAGAAACATTAAAGTACTTGGGTGCACACTTCAACTACTCCAACATGCTGACAGAAGAAATACTATCTAGAATAGGTTAGTTGCGTATCCTTTACAGGACATTTCAGAACCAACCCCTGGCAGTTGTGTGGTTTTTCTAGGCAAATTTACATCCAGTAGTTTGCCATTGCTTTCTAGACGGTCGGCTTTCTTGATACCACTGTCAAAACCAATGCTAGGCGAATGGCACGCAGCTGGGATCGAACCCGGCATTACAAAGCATTTGCATCGACTTAGCCACACAGCCGACACTATCTAGAATACAATCTGGAAATAAAGTATACTTTGCCCTTCAACATCTGGAAAAGTCAAAGTCTCTGTCTCGCAATACCAAGATCAAAATATATAAAACGTTGATAAGACCAGTCATTTTATATGGCTCTGAAACTTGGAGCACAACTAAAAAAGATAAAGCCTTATTACAGGTTTTCAAAAACAGTCTTACGACGAATCTTTGGACCCATAAAAGATGCAAACAGTGGAGAATGGAGAGTGAGAAGCAATAATGAAATTCATAATCTGTTTAAATCCCCACTAATCACTAACATCAGAATGTCAGATGACAGAGAAGTAAAAATTCTATACACATGAATAGTTGTAGACCACAAGACAGACCTGCAAACACTTGGTGTCACCTACTGGAAAGAGAAGGTCAACCAGAGAGATGATGGGGGGTGGGGGGTGATGATATCTGCAGCAATGAATCTCAAGGGCTCAGAATGCTGAAGAAGAAGGATATTTAATTTGAAGGAAAAAAACAATCACAAAGCTTAACCAAATCTACATTAACAGCAAGAAAGGCTAGGAAACTACTTTTTACAGACTAACCAACATTTGTTCAGAAAACTTAATTGATCAGTATTAGAAGCTAAATTTAATCACAACTGTGATTAACCTTGTGTTTTCTTCAGCTAGAAATAATATTATTATTTTGAATTATATTAAAACAAGAAACGTATCTGTATTTCCGGGTGCCTAAAATTTGTTAAATAAATACAGCTGTACACTGTATGTGAAAATGATCAAGAAATGCTTTGTTTAGCCACACGTACATTTCGCAGCCACATGTACACAAAATTAAAAATCTGCAAATCAGTCATGTGCACATGTGAATTGGCACCTGAGACAACATATGTCCTCCAAAACTTTCCCAAACACAACATATCAAGGCAAAATATTTGGCCAAGAGAAACAAAGGTGCAAGCCAAACTTTACGGGTCGCTGAGTGAATTACAAAAGACAGTGAAGTTCAAACTAGAGATAACATTGCAGAGATAGATAACCTATTACAGCTGAACGAAAGAAGAAGAAGAAGAAGAAGAAGAAGAAGAAGAAGAAGAAGAAGAAGAAGAAGAAGAAGAAGTTAAGCAATATTAATTATTGCTAAATGCAAAGTAAATATGATTGATGAATTTATGTAAATTATTTGCTTATTCAACAGAAAATATTTCAAATGTGAATTGTATACGTAAAGCTTATAAAAAGAAACATAAAAGCAAAGAATATTATTTTTATTATTTCAAAGCAAGAATGTGTAGTAATGTTTTAGTGAACAGATATGTATGTAAGGTCATACTGTTGACCTCTTCTCACATCTTAACTTTTTTTTAAACATTTTTTTTTTAAATGTATGTGTCTATATGATCTCCTCCCAGTGTGATGTTGATCGAGTGCCAACTGCCCTGACATATAACTCTAGAGCTTTATACCCAATGTGCCTGCTATGGCAAAGGGGACCTTTTAATTATGTTTGTGCCTTCATGTTAGATACTATTTGTTTGTGTGTGTGTGTGTCTGTGATTGCGTGCATGCTTTTTATTTATTTATTTTTCAAGTATACTTGCACTTGCATAAATGTTAACTGTGTGCTAATTGTTTATCTTTGCTGACATCTTTAGAGTGTAACTGTGTGATATGTGGATGTTAATATGCTGTTGACATAATACTGTCACCTTTCCATTTTCCCAGAGGTTAAGTGTTCCATTGTGCTGTAAGGAAAGCATGGAAATAGACAGCCCATGAAGATACAAATTAGGGTCAGGGATAAAGTTCTTTCTCATGATAGCATAAAGCCTGGGCAGTACTGTATAGACTGTGTTATCCTTGCAGCCCTCTCATGGCCCGCTTTGTTAACTCCAAAGAAAAGGTAACACCAGCACATTTGGAACAATGCTTCAGATACTGTCAAATCAAAAGAGGAGTGTTCTTTCTGTCTGTCTGCCTGCTGGAGTTTCCCTTCCTAAGTCAGCTGCCAAAAAAGACTAAGAGCCTGGTCTGCCCTGCCACAAAATTCAGTTTTGGCATTGTATTTCTATGTTCTAACATAAGGTGAATATCTTCCAAATGTGCTCCTCCGCCTCACTGGCAGAAGTGTGATGTCAAGCTTGGAATATGCCTCCAATAAATACCTAATGCATCAACCTCTGCATGCAGAACTTCTGGGTTCTCTATCCCTACTTTATGCTATCAGTGCCAAACATGGACAATGAATAGGGCACTAGAACAGAAAATAAGCACATGTGAAATGCACTGTCCCCGCAAAGTACTAATAACACAAGAGATAGGGTTATGAATACCAGCATTAGAGAGAAAGTTGGAATAAGACCATGTCTGGATTATATTGACAGACAAAGAATGAAATGGTTCAGGCATCTAGTGTGAATGCAGCCAGACCAAAATGCATATGAGACTTTTACAGCAAAACATCTGGGAGGAATGTGACAGGAAGACCAAGAAAGAGATGAAGAAATGGTGCAAAAAGATGAACAAATCCTTCATCCAAGCCACCAGAGAAGAGCAACACAAATACACAAACAAAAAAAACCATGACACTGGGCTGCAACCTGGTATCAGTGAGGCGACAAAAAAGTAGAAGACCTCTGCATGTGTGTGCACATTATTATGTGTGCATGGATATGTGTGGTTCGACAGCAAACATGCTTGCCCCTCACAAGACTTGATGTTCAGTGCTTTGTTAATATATGAACATATGCTGACTGTTAAATGAACCAACTGTCAATAAAGAAAATTGCTAAAGGTTAAGTGTACATATTTTATTCATTTAACAGATACAGATTTACATCTGCAATGATAACAATGAATTCATTTATTTAAAACACAATGGCAGCCAAACGTTAATGAATAAAATAATGTGATGTTATAAAAAGATAGACACAAATATATGTATTGTATATTTATCACACTGCTCTGCAAAGCACAGCAATAGTATTTATTTGAAAACTTCTTAAGTCATTTTGTTTCTTTGTCACAAATGCTCCAATTTATCATCATCATCATTTTCATAACCATTAATATAGACATCTGTAACAGCATCATTAACTCCCTTATCTGCACTGTTGCTTTTTTTCATCTCATCCCTTGGACTCTCGCTGTTTTCAGCCAATGTTGTTGCTGATTTATTTAAAGATGAAGAAGATGGTTTCTGCGACTGACCACCACCTGCCAACGCATCTCCAAGCCCTCTAATGAACTTGGTTAATACTGCTGGGTGATCCTTGTTCCGGAAGTTTAACCCACTGGTGATCAGTTCACCAAAGCCTGTCTGGTGAGCGAATGCATAACCTGAACGCATTGAACGGTTGCTTCTGCGCATTGTGGACTGACGTTGAATGCGTAAGGCGCCACCAAACTTGGATTTGGATTTCTTAATCCTCTGCCGTAGTCTGACACGATCTGACAGGGTTGGGGTGAAGTTGGTGGCGTAGAACCGGTATGCAAGCACAGGCACTAATAGCAGTGTACTTGTGAGCAGGAGACACAGCCAGAATGATGGCATTGCAAAGACTACAAAAGCCACTCCTGAATACTTGTAGCGGATGGGATCTGAGTAGAATGCTAAGTGAAAGAAAAAATAGTAGATAATGCTGCCCCAGACAACAAAATGATTGAATCCTGTCCAGTAGCTGGTGTCAAGGGCACACTGTAAAAAAAGAAAAATTAAAGATGCATTAAAATGTTGAACCTGAAAGCTAAAATGATGATTTATACATGTATAATTATATTCTTTGAATATAAAAATTAAAAAGCTGAAATTTTTATTTTTATTTTTTAAAGAAAAACATTTTTTTTTTAATTTTCTAATTATTTCTCTGACAATAACAAATTCTGATTTAAAATTATACAAATATAATTATATTATTTAAATAATAAAATTAATCCGAAAATTAGGAGATAGTACTTGTTTGTTTTTCAAGTCTAGGTCAGTGGTTGTGTTGTGTCTATTTCTGAAATAGTTCTATTATTTCCCACCTGTAGGGTGAGATTTCTGACCTAATCCTGGCAAATTCTGTGTAGGACATTTCACTGTCTTGACATATTGAAATCAATATCCATTGGTTTACTTTCCATTAAATCAGTTCACACAATCTATTAGGAACTTTAGTCAGGGCACATTTCCCCTGTCCAAGAATTCCATTAACTCATTCAGTAAAAATTATTTGTTTCTTTAACTGTTGTAAGAATTGTTTACTTTAAGTAATAAATTTTTTGATCTGAAGACTCAAATTGGTAGGGCTATGGAATAAGAGGATTTCAACTAAGAATCGGCTTCAGTTAGTGAGTTAAGTACTAGGATGGGGTCATAATGGAGCAATGATGCGCAATACAAGACTCTTAATGTCTATTAGCCTCTCTTGCACAGGCCTACCTCACCTTCACGTGGTGGACCCTGTTCTTCCCAGCAATCCAGTTGAAGATTGGGGTCTCAACCCCCAGCGGGAAACTGGATGGGACAACAAACGAGGCAAAGGCGAAAGACGAATGGATGAGCCTATTCTCCTCGAGTATGATCACAGTCTACCCTAGCAAAACAAGGTGCTGAAGTTGGAGGCAACCAGCCAAGAGGCGCACCACAGCAATCAGGATGCCACGCACACACGCCATGGAAATATGTCTAAATCAGCAAAACTTTATGGTGCTCGCCCAGAAAGATAGCAGAGACCAGGCCAAACCAAGAACATCACAATAACTACCAGCATGCAAAAGCAAAATTTGAAAGGGCAAAGCTGCAGGTTAGAAGGGAAAGCTGGCAGGAGAAAACAAGATTGCTGAACTTTGAAAAAGACACAAGAAAGTTGTGGAAGCTTGTGAAACAAATTAATGATGAGGACACAATGTGGAACTCAAAGATCACGCTGCAGAAAGATGGAAACTGGTCACAGGAAAAGAGGCAGCCAACCTATTTGCGGACATTTTTGTTTTAGATAACGACACTGAAATCAGTTCAGAGAAAAAACATGAAATTCAAGAAAAGACACAATTTAGAAGTCAGAAAGAAATAACATCAGAGGCGTTAGAGGTGAAAATTACACTTAATGAACTGGAGTTGGCCATTTCAAAGTTGAAAATGCGGAAGTAACCAGGAGCAGATGGTATATCAAACGAAATGATCAGAAACTTAGGAACAGTGGCCAAAACAAAGCTTTTACAGATATTTAATGCTTGCTGGGCAACAGGAAATGTTCCACAGATCTGGAGAGAGGCAATTATGATACCCCTCATAAAGCCTGGGAAAGACAGTTCTAATGCCTCCAACTACAGACAGATCAACCTCACATGCTGTCTCTGTAAAACAATGGAGCGCATCACCAACCTCAGACTACAGTGGTACATTGAAAGTGAAAACATCATTACACCACAGCAGGTGGGCTTTTAAAGATCTGCTCTATGGAAGACCAGACAACATACCAATCCCAAGAAATAGAGGATGCTTTTCTAGATAAGAAACTGGTACTCGCGGCATGGATAGATTTAAGGAAAGCTTTTGATAAGGTTTGGAAGGAGGAGCTTTTAAAGAAATTGAGAAACTATAAAATAAATGGGAAAATGTACAATTGGATTAAAGCATATCTACATAACAGAAGAGTCTGGGTACAGGCAGATGGTTTTAAAAGTAAACAAGTTCTACTGCGACAAGGCGTCCCTCAAGGTGGTGTCCTGTCGCCCACACTTTTCCTCTTATTCATCAATGGTTGCTGAGATACCAAATGGAATCAAAATGGCGACCTGGTACTGTGGTGCACCAATAAACATGCAACAATAGCCACAAGAACACTACAGCGGGCTACAAATGCACTTGAGGCATGGGACAATAGATGGTGTGTCAGCATCAACACAGACAAATGTAGCACCACACTCTTCACCCTCTCCCCATCATCAAAATAAATGGAATAACCCTAAGAGATGATAAAGAGCCCACATACCTAGGAGTCACATTTGATGACAGGTTGACATGGAGAAAACATATCAACAAGACAGCAACCAAAGCCAGGAGGAAGACAGCAATACTAAGAAAACTAAGTGGAACTACATGGGGAGACGATGGGAAAATACTCAATAAAGTATACAAGCAGAGCATACTTTTACACTTGGAATATGGGTAAACTGCATGGTGTTCAGCATCTAGTACCACATTAAAGAAGTTGGACAAAGTGCAAAATCAAGCGCTCAGAGTCATCACCAGAGGGATGAAATCAACCCCCATATTAGAAATGGAGAAAGCTGGGAAAACACAGGCACTGAGAGAACGCAGAGATGCAAAGTTGAAAATACAAGCTGAAAAGTTCCTCAGTATGCCAGATCACCTGATGGAAAATAGATTTAAGAACCTAGCCTTGGGACGGTTAAAAAGAAGCAGCTTTATACAACAAGCAAAAAGAATATGTAGACAAACTCCTGACCTTCCAGAAATTGGTTGCCCACTTAAAAGTATTCCGGAACAAACCCCATGGAGAGAAAAATGCAAACTAACAGTACAAATCCAGACACATGTGAAAGGAACAAGAAAGAGCAAGATAGTGTACAACGCAGAATGGCCACCCTCAGTTATATTGATGAAGAATACCCACAAGAACAATGGGTCAGAGTCTATACAGATAGATCCACAGAAAGTGCAGTTAGAAATGATGGTGCTGGAGTGTACATCGAATTCCCAGATGGTACTAGGGATAAGTCCAGCGTACCAACCGGGAAGTACTGCCATAACTATGAAGCAGAAACTCAAGCTATCAAGATAGCGACAGAGAAACTGCTAAATACCAATCTTGGCTCACAGTATGTGGTAATGCTGACAGATGCTAAATCAGTACTTGAAGCACTCCAGTCTAGGAATTGCAAACACTGCTGACACAACTCAGCCTTCAGCGAAGAGTCGTAATGCAGTGGATACCGTCTCATTATGGAGTGCCTGGAAATGAGAAAGCTGATCAACTGGCAGGGGAAGGTGCGACAAAAGAGCAGCCGGATGTACCAGTCACATACCACCAAAAAAAAGAATCATTAAATCGATCAGGAAACCACCAGCCCCAGCACAAGACGACTATTTTATTATGGACAGACCAGAACAAGGCATTATCCTCTGCCTCAGAACAGGGCACAACCGATTACGTAACCACATGTACACAAAATTCAAGATAGGTGTATCAGCCATGTGCACCTGTGGAAATGTGCCCCAGACAGCAGAGCATGTACTCCAGGACTACACCGAATTTGACACATTAGGGCAAACCTTTTGGCCAGAAAGAACAACAGTGGAACATAAACTCTATGGACCACTGAAATGAACTAACAACGACAGTGAAATTTATACAAGAGACAAAACTGCTGATATAGACCATTTCAGGTGAACGAAAGAAGAAGAAGAAGTACTAGGATGGGTCTCAAGGAGCTCAGAAATGAATATTCTGTCAGCTGATGCTGAAAACAAAATAAATGCACTGCAAGTTAGTTGGTCATCACCAACTGCCTTGCTTCTTTCTTCTTCTTCTTTGCGTTTACCAGCCTTAAACTCTGGCGCAAAGTTTTGGTTGTTCATCCACTTCTTGACTGCAGTCCTGTTCCAGAACCTCAGTGTTGTGTGTGCATCCGTTTTACAGATCTGACTCATTTATATGCAGACTGCTGGTTCCTTGCCTCTCAGGCAGATGCACTCAGACTTCGAAAGAAGCTCCCAATATGTTGACTCTTACGAGATGTTTTGGGTATGCTGTGGGTCTATTCTTGTTTTCCCTATAATAGGGCCCCAGAACCCACACCGGGAAACTGCCTTGCTAACTGGCAATGGCGATCACACTTCTCTGCATGCAATCTGCGATCACCAGCTTGGACCCGTTTATCAGCTGACACATTAGCATGCCATGTCAAAAGGTTGTCAAGAATCTTCTCACGTTGTCTTCCTCTTTTTCAAAAGATGTTTTAAGTGATCATATCATGTTCTAGTTTTGTTCTTCTGATGAAATGACTCCAAAACTGATGACTGTCTCTATGTTTGCGAAAATCTGTCTTCAAGCCCTCGCCTCTTTTAAAATATCTGGGTTGCTCTTTTTGGCTGTCCAAGAAATTCCTAAGATTCTTATGAAAAACCACATCCCCAAGGCCTCAAGACATTGTTTGGCTTGTTGATTATTTGTCCAGAATTCATAGGCATACAAAAACCAGCAATATAAAGCATTCAAGACTTCATCTAACCTCATAACATGGATTTATGGCATATAAAATATTTGTTTTATAAAAATGCACTTTTAGCTATCCTTCTTCTTCTCTGTTCATCAACTGTAAGCTCCCATGGGAAGTCCTGTTTGTTTGATCAGGGTGTGAGTTTTGAGTGTAAATTCATTTTACTGGCTTATTTGTGTGCAGCTGATTGTTCCTTGCCTCTCAGGGAGATAGATATATACTGATTATAAAGGAAACCCCCATTTAGTCGACTCTTATGACATGCTTGTTTGGGAGGCAGAGGATACATTCTTGTTTTCCCCAAAAGGGAGACCCGGAACCCACACAGGAAAGCTTATCCTATTCTGTTCTTTATCTTCATTTTACACGTTCCTTCTGACGTTATCCATGGGCCCAGATACTTACATTTCTGCCAACACCCAAGGCGAGGATGGTGTATCTCATTGTACACATCACAACAGCGTCAACCTTCCCTCATGTCTGTGACTTAAATCACCGCACCATAAATACAAAAATATTTCTGACACCTTGGTTATTTTATGAATTCAGGATAGTTGTGGTAAACATTTACAAAATCCAAAAGATAATTTCCACACAAAAGGAAGAAAAGAACAAATAAAGAATTCAAGTCTACGCTTACCCTCAAAATTACTGTCAATGCAAGAACAGCAGGTAGAACTAAACCCAGACTCTGAATTAATCAAGGAAACATCATTTCCCGTGGAGTCATACCCAAAAGATAAGGTCCATAAAGTATGAAGAGCAAACGATAAGTTTGCTAGAATGTAAAGAATAATCAAGAATATAGGGTATATCTTCTTCTTTTGTTAAAATCTGCTTGTGCCGCTAGGCGTCGCAGTCTATCAGATGATCGGCAACCGAGCCAGGGCGCGCTCAGTCGCTTCATATGCCGTGATGTTATGAAGTCTCAAGTTGTCCGTGACTCCTTCAATCCATATTCTTCTTGGTCTTCCCCTGCCTCTTGGTGTTTCGATTTTCATGTTGTATGCTCTTGATGCTGGCATCGTTGGTTTCATTCTCATTAGGTGACCAAACCATTTCATTCTTTGCTTCTCAATAAATTTAACGATGGGTATGGTTCCAATAGTTCTTGTAATCACATCGTTTCTCACTCGATCTCTTCTGGTTCTATTCGCAGCCATTCTCAAACATCTCATTTCACAGGTGGTTAGTTATAGGGTATATAACAAGTATAAACAACAAGCAAGAAGGCAGGCTCCAAAACATAGGTAAAGTGAAAGCAGAGAATTCATATTTACACTAAGAACAGGACACTGCAGGTTCAACTACAACATGCATAAAATAAAGATTGCAGTCTCCACAGTGTGCATGCCAAATGGGACCAACAATAGCTAAGAACATTCTGTAGGCCTGTCCACTACACTTACATCTACAAAGAGAAACCTGACCTCAAGAGCAAAGCAAGCTTTGGATAACCATGGAGGACCTGCAAATTCAAACAAGCAGCCCACCTGACAGTCTAACATGTGTATGTGAAAATCAAACTCCACGAAGAGGATAAATGTACACTTACCCTTAAATTTACTGTCAACACAAGTGCAGCAGCCACAATTGTACCAAGACTCTGGGTGTCTGTAACATCTTTCCCCACGGGGTCAACACTCATAAGATAGGTTCCATATGGTATAAAGAAAAGAACAAGTGAAGAGATCACCCCTTCAGCCACACTCCAGGAAAACAGTTTCTTATTGAACAGGGTGTTCTTCAGCCCAGGCTCATACAACTTTGGGTACCTTATACAGTAGTTATCATTCACATCCTGTCATCAGAAGTAAACATAATATGCTATTATTTCATGTGTACAACAGAAAATGCTGCCTTTTAAAAAAATTTGTGTGTGTGTCTAGTTTACATGGAACAAATAACATAAATATAGATTATTTCTTTACATAGAAATACATATTTCTTTATTTTGAAATGCAGATTATATTTATACCCAGAAATGAGGTTTTTTTTTGTTTTTTGTTTTTAATCTCATTCTGCATCAGTATTGACCAAATATTTTCATGTTTAGTCTGTACACAAAAGATTGTATTCCTTCTCTTTCTAATTCACACTTTAACTCTTTCAGTTATCTAAGATTTTGCAGCTGTCCAAACAGGGAGACAATAACACAGGAAATGAATTAAACTGATTTCTTTCAAAGAGGCAACAAACAAACCACCCGCCTGCAGATATTGGTTTTGTGATGTGAAGTGTGAAGCCTTCAAATGTTCCAGATCATAACATTCTCATTTCTTCTCAGGCCGTCTTGGTAAACAATGATACATATATATATATATATATATATATATATATATATATATATATATATATATATATATATATATATATACATACATATACATATATATATATATATATATATATATATATATATATATATATATCTATATATATATATATATATATATATATATATATATATATATATATATATATATATATATATATCATTGTTTATATATATATTTTCATCTACCCATACATACCTGATCAAATATTCCCAGAACGAGCACCGGCAGTGATGTGTAAAACACATTGTACAGAGAGATAAAGAAAGGATCAAACAAAGTCTGAAAAACAAAAACAAAATCAATTTATTAGTTTACAGGATCATAATGGAGGAATCAACTGTGATGCATAAACGGCAATAACAGGATAATCACGATGATGGTGCTGATGATGGTAAGGGTATTTAACAATTATTCTTAGTGTACACGCCAAAATGTATTCATTTGTAGGGTTAAATTTTGTCTTTGACTGGTAACTAACCCGAAACTGATTGCTTCAGATTGTCTTATTTCTGATAATTCCATCACTGACAGAGTTAATAAATTCAACATACTACTAAGAAATATAAAGAATGGATAGGAAAGATACTGTTAAACGCTTCACCTGCAATCTAATGAATAAAAAAAAAAAAGAATACTCAGCTACAAAAGCAAATTAACACAATCTGGTAGAGAAAATATTCCACGCTTATATCAGTGGTCTAGCCATCTGAGTAAAATGCCCTGGAACCAACTGACACATAAAGACAGTCAGTCAGTCAGTATTGTGTCCTTTGCAGAACCTTGCTCCCATAACCCTCTGGAAAACTTTTTGATCACAAGCAAAATGCCCAGCATCCAATACACCCATCTGTAGATCATTCGCCACATCCTGCACCCATCTTTTCTTTGGTCGTCCTCTTCCTTTCTTCCCAGGCATATACCCCTCCAATTAATGTTCTCTCTAAACTGTACGACGTTTTAAGTGTCAAAAATATTTAAATGTTCTGTGTTTTATCGTCTTTAATAGCCAACCTTCTTCATTATTCAGTTCTTGAAGTATGGATGTATTTGTTCTTTTCTTTACCCATGATATTCTTAGAACGTGTCTATAACATTTGTATTAAAGGTATTTATGCGCTGTTCAGCTTGTTTAGTAAGTGTCCAGGCCTCACAGGTGTATGTTGCAATGGGAAAGATGCAGGCTCTTAGTATCTAATTTTCATAGTTGTCTGTCCCACTCCATAATTGATTCAGTTGTTTTAGTCTTTGAAGAGCAATTGATAGATGTCATTTATTTTCTCTCATAGCATCACCATTGTTGGTAATCAACATAAAGCCAAGCTGAAGTCATTTAATGGCACACAGCAAGGGGAAGACCATATATACAATCAAACAAGGGCATCAAGAACAACCATGAGGAAGTGAAGACCAACTTATACCACACTGTAAAGAGCATACAGAAGATCCTGACATCTACCCTCCCACACTTCGATGAAATGACTGAGGTAAAGTGTTACAGTATTACTATATTTTTTATTTCTTGTCCGCACTTTAGTTATCACTAAAAGTGCATCCTTACAGATGTATCAACAGAAATATAACAAATATAACACTTAAGCAATGAGTTAACATTATTTCATTCATTCATTGTCCTGTTGTGCCATTTTTTGTCATAGAAAGCTCGCAGTCTGTTCCTCTATTCCATTCTATCCTGTGCAATCAGTTCAATATCATGAAAGGAATCTGGTCCAGCAATTTAGCCTCATTTATTAATGTCTGTCTTTGGGTTGGGGGGAGAGGGTGGCGTCCTTGCCTCCTTATTCCCTTTCTTTCCTATTTTAATCCTAGTTTGGTGATTCTCTGCTGGTTTCTTCCCAGGACTGTCCACTGTAGCACCATCTTCTCTGTCTTCTAACTGCTGACACTACATTTCTCTCAACTCTTCACTCCCTTCGAATCCATCCCATTTTATTTTCAATATTTTCCTCAGACATTTGATTTCAAATGGATCCCACTTTCAGTGGTTCCCCAAACCCTATTTGCATATGCCAAAAAAGATTATTAAAATGATTTACCTAACAATTAATCTGAATGTTATTATTCACAAGTATAGATGCATATCATTTACACAATGTTGCCAGTGGTTCCCCAACCCCTATTTGCATATGCCAAAAAAGATTATTAAAATGATTTACCTAACAATTAATCTGATTGTTATTATTCACAAGTATAGATGCATATCATTTACACAATGTTGCCAGCAAACCCCAGTATACTTATTCATAACATCCCTAAAAATAGAAGTAACAAAACTCCATCTTCTTTGTTCACCGGCTGGAAGCTCCAGCAGAAAGCCCTGGTTGTTCTTTCATTTTGATTTTGGCTTGAAGCCAGAGCATGCGTTTTAGGTGTACATCCATGTTACTGGCTCATTTGTAGGCAGTTAATTGTTCCCAGATACTCAGGCCGATGCACTCCGACTTCGAAGAAAGCTCCCAGTAAGTCGACTGCTACGATATGCTTGTTGGGGAGGCAGTGGGTCTATTCTTGATCTCCCCAAAATTGGGTCCCGGAACCCATACAGGGAACTTAATACAAGCATCAGTACTAATAGTAAATTTTTTTTTTTTTTCAACTTGTAAAGGGCCCTTTTCAGGCCATTTATACAGCTGGCAAATAAGGCTAGATAAATTGGTGCTTGATGGGATGCAGTCAGCATCAACTGGTCACCTTCATTTCCCAGAATACGTCCTGGTAATATTTTCAGGCTGGACCCAAATGGGAGCCCACAAAATGTATTCTCTTAAAGCATTTTATGAATGTTAACCTAAGACCAGTCCAGTAGACAAAGTGTCTTGCCACTGTGTTATTACAATCCAAGTTTTTTTCCTCCTCTGTTCTGACTCTTAAAATATATAAATTGTGGTTTACAGCTAGCATGTGATATCTGTGCTCTTCAGCCCAGCTCATCAAATTTCAGCAACTCTTTAATCAGCCACATTTTACGTCATGCTCGTTAAAGGAAGTGAGTCTATTTTTTTCACCCAAAAATGCCAATCGGATAATTCCAAAAATTTATTATTATTAAAATGATAACAACAAAGTTACCTGTGCAGAAAATCCACAGAAGAATGCAAACCAGAAGTGACATAATGTAAATGCAAAATTCTTGTAAAAGAAGTACTTCAGAAACTTGCACATTCTCAAGTACGACCAGCGCCCATGAACAAGGAGGAGGCGCTCCAGGTATCGGAACTGTGCTATTGAGTAGTCACTTGCCAGAACAGCTTGCATGCCTTCTTGGCCACTGATGCCAATACCTATATGCGCCACTGAAAAAATAATGTGTTTTTTTTAAATGATGAAACTTTAATATTCCTAATTATGTCGCTACTCATAGTGTCAGACTCAATTAGCATGCTTAAGAGGATCCAAACTAGCAAATTAGCTATTAACTTCTCATCCTTTTGTGGGATGCAATTTTTCGCTACTTTGAAGCCCCACCCTGGCAAGAGAAGCCGCAATATTGTCTGGCCATAAATATGGCCTAATGGTTAAACGCGGGTTTCCGGGACCTCTCCACAGTGATCCTTATCCACATGCTTGCGGCACTTTGTGTCATCGGGTGTTTATCGCTTTTGTGATGCCCTAGTGGGGTACTACTACTAGCCAATTTAGACCAGATTATGTTGAAAGCATCCAGCCAAAAGTCTCGCCTCGTGAAACTATCTTGGTTCTACACACCAGGGTTTGTCAGGATTCAAGGAAACGAAAGAGAAGATAGAATGACCCAGCCTGCAGTGGTTAATGGAGGAAAAAGTCAGGACAGAGCAAACATACTCGCAGAACATGGATTGATGACATTAAAGACCTTCACAGAATGACAATAGCCATCGCTACCCAATCAGCAATGGATCACAAACTGTTCCTCCCAATGACACTAAAAGGCAAAAGTGGAAATTGATGATGATTATATATGCCCTGTATAACTCAAAAATGTGAAAAAGGATCAAACTGATATTAAAAAAGACACTGTCTAATACTAGTATGTATTTAATGTAATGTCTGATTCCCTAAATCACCTACTTTTGATGTATTTATTAGCAATGTATTACTAGGACTAAAATACATATACAGAAAGGTAAAGAATGCCCATCTCATCTCCGAAGAAGTTTCCCATAAATATAAAATCCAGGAGAAAAATAAATGATTGCACACTAAGGAAACAATAAATCCACTATGTTAATGTTAGTAAGACTGTCTACTTTTTCACAGTACAAATTCTATCATAATCACAACCCAAATCAAAGCAACAATTTGAAACAATACAAATTACATTATAGTCGTTTAAATAATAACATAATAGATACATTTAAAAAAAAAATTAATACACTCTGAGAACTCAATTAATACTACATATCACAATTATAACCCTGAGGGTTGAACAGGATATTGTTCAAAAATCACTACTACTACTACCTACTTTTGATCATGCTAACATCATTTGCACCATCTCCAACAGCTAGAGTAATGGATTTTTTATGTTGCTTGACAAGGTCAACAACCAAGGCCTTCTGCAGAGGTGTCACCCTGCAACAGATGACAGCCTTGCACATACAACCAAGGTTCAGCAGGGTCAGTTCTAGCTTGGGTTTCAAAGCATGAGCCTGTGCAGACATGAAAATATTTAAACATCATAATGAAATTATCAGTACAGTTGTTACAATAAGTTACAGGGTTACAAATACCAGCATTACAGAGAAAATTTGAATAAGTAAGTAAAAAGTAAAGGACCCTCTTCCACACCTTTAGGCATAAAGGGCCTATAGGGCTAGACCTATATTTTATAGACCATTTGGCACAGGATGGGTGATGTGGTCAGCATCATGCCGGCCACCTTTGCTTCCCGGGACTGCTTCCCGAGACTGCTGGGTCGACCTGGGAGCCGAGGTCATTTAAAAAAAAAAGTCCTGCTCAGCCATGGAGCGAACCCATGACTTACGATCTGGGCCGTCTAGCCGCTCCACCATGCCGACTCCCAAATGGAATAAGACTATGTCTGTATCATACTGATAGACAAAGAATGAAATGGTTTGACCATCTAGTGAGAATGCAGCCAGATTTTTTATTTCATAGCAGAACATCTGGGAAGAAGATGAGGGGAGGATCAAGAAAGACAAGGATAAATGATACAGCTGAAGCCTGCAAAAAATGAATAACAAATCCATCACCCCAGCCACCCAAGAAGCACAAGACAAATACAGAAAAACTAGACACTGGTCTATAAACTGGTATCAGTAAGATGACAAAAGAATAAGTACAGTATCGTAACTTAGTGATAACCAGCTAGCGATGGTAAAATAGCAATGATAATACAGAGATAACTGCCTGCATGACTTGGCCATACAGCATAGGTGTAACAGGAAAACACAATTATTTTCCGATTCTAATGTTAACAATCATTGCTGCATCGTATAACTCATTTGTACACATAACTTAATGTTCACTTACAATATTTACTAGTTTATTTATTACTTATTATATATATTTAATAGTTAGAATAATGACAAAGAAAAAAAGAAAATGATAAAGACAAGTTACTTTGGTCTCAGTAACATAATATCATCATCATGTAGCAGGTCCTTTGCAGAAAGTCGCTCTCATCACTGTCTGCCTGAAAGAAACCCGGTCTCTCGCCAGTTCTCCCGCCTCATGAACTTTTACGCTCAAGGAGTCACTTATATCCTGTGCCCATCTTTATGTCGGTCAGCCCCTACCCCTCCTTCCTGGTACCATGCCTTCTGCTATAATTTTTTCCAATTCGTCGTGGCGCTTGATATGACCAAAATATTTCAGCTTTTGAGAAAGGGTGCTGTTTATTAGCCAATCTTCCTTGATGTTCAGATCTTTTAAGATGTAAGTATTTCTCATCTTCTTTGTCCAAGATATTCTGAGAATCTTTCAATAGCATTTCAGCTCAAAAGCCCCTGTTCTCTTTCTTAAGGACTGAGAGATAGTCCACGACTCACATCCGTATGTAGCCACAGGGAAGATGCATGCTCTCAAAATTCTAATTTTTATCTCCTTGCTGGTGCTTAACCATAGACTTTTAAGGCTGTTCAATCTTTGCATTGCTATGGCCATCCTCCATTTAATTTCTGTCAAATAGTCTCCACTTATTAAAGAGCCTAGATATTCACAGTTTGTGACATTTTCAATTTCTTCATCATTTATTGTTATTTTTGGGTGACAGCCAGTTTTATCTGTGGTCATTATTTTCGTTTTCTTTAAATTCAAGAACAGATTTTGATTTTCTCTGTGCTTTTGGACAGACAATATTAAATTTTCTATTCCCTTTACGCTGTTCGAAAGGAGGACTGTGTCACCTGCGTAGCAGAGTTCCGGAATAGGGTTGCCACCAATTTTAAGCGAATCATAACTGTCACAAGTCTGGTCATTTGTGACATTTCTTATTGTATTTTCTGCGTACATATTGAATGGTATGGTGAGAGAATGCACCCCTGGCTCACCCCCTTTTGCACCTCGAACCAATCAGATGTTTCACCAGCTGCATCGGTGGCTGCTAGTTGTTCATGATAAAGATTTTCAATTAAATGCACTAAATGCGCTGGAAACCTCATACTTTTCACAATAGTCCACAGTTTGTGGTGCTGGACACAATCAAATGCCTTGCCATAATCAATAAAACAAGCATGAAGATCTACATTGTATTCTCTGCATTTTTCAAAAATTATTCTCATATTAAAGATTTGATCCCTAGTTCCTCTACCCTGTCTGAAACCAGCTTGTGCTTCATATAGCTCATATTGTAATTTCCTTTCAATCCTTTTCATGATAATTCGTAAGAGGGTTTTGCTAATAACATAATATACTGAAAACAATAATGCAGAGAAAATATAAAGGGAAAGGTTGAAGGCAGAAGAGACAGAGAAAGTCATAAATATCAATCTTATATAATCAAAACTGATGTCACTGCACATTGGGCATTTCCCTGCATGCTCAGTCCTCTGCTGCAGCAGGCACTTCAAAGTACTTCTGCTGATTGTTTCCATGAAGAGTTGCATATAATGTCCCCTATCTCAACCTCGTAGGCAGTATAGATGTGCCTCACCATGTTTTACTCCCAGGTAACACAACTGTGTTTAGTGTCAGAGATTAATCATTATCCAAGATATAATTAGAGAGACAATAGCAAGACATGTTCAGGATAAAGTCTAGTAGAATGTTCCCATGAAAACTTAGAGAAGGAATCTGCTGAAGATCCATTATAGTCGACCTTCACATAAAAAAGACAGATGTGGGGTTCCAGAATGTAACAAACTAAACAAATATTGTGTGTGTGTCATATGTGTGTGTGTGTGTGTGTGGGGGAGGGGGGGGGTAAGAGAACAGAACCACTGTTCCTCAACAAGCAGGTTCTAAAAGGTACTAATTATAACCCAAACTGTTACTAGAAAGCTCAATAGAGGAAATGGAAAAGCTGCAAACAAAAAAACAAATACAACAGAATGATTTGATCAAATCTTTATCAACCACAATACCACTGTTGAACTTTCACATCACAGTTTGTGTTATTTTTAGTACTTCTTCATATCAGCATGATTGCAGTCACCTCTATTTATGCCATCCCCTTTCTATGAATCCGCCATGCTTAGTAGTTAGACACTCGCCTTCTGATCCAAAAGATCATGGGTTCAAATCTTCTTTTTTTTTTCCAAATGACCATTGCTCCCAGGTCAACCTAGACCTGAATGAGTACCAGGTTATGTCCTGGGAATTTAAGGGGCTGGTGTGATGCTGATTACATCACCCCCTGAGTGCCCATTGGTCTATAAAATTTAGGTCTAGCCCTATATGCCCAATACTTGTGAAGGCAAGGAAAAGTGTCCTTTACTTCACTCTTACTTCCAAATTTTTTTTTATGTGTAAACATTGATTTAGAGTTTGGTGTTATCAAACATGTTGAGCCAAAAGGCATAGATAACACAGCCTAGCAGTAAACCACAAAACATCATGCCAACAGCCAATTTAATGGAAATAAATAAACAAAATTATACCAGACTATGTCCACTGATGACCAAAGAGAATTCCCCAAATTCATCCTCTGGAATTATAATATCTCCATTCTCAATATCGTAAGACTGCTGCTCAATTTTTGTAGACCCATTACGGAAGGTGACCTCTGGTCCAAGTCTACTTTTATTGTTTTTAGCATTGTCAATATCTTCTAAGGCCTTCTTCATTTGACTTTCAACCTCTTCTTCTGTATCTCCATCAATGATAAAAGGATCTTCCATCTCATCTGTTAGTAGGCGACAAGAGTAGCCAATATTGATTGCAGTTTCTGAAAATAAAGTATCACATAAATGATTAGACCAAGCATGTTTAATTACTGGTTTAAAAAAAAAAAAAAATATTTCCCAAGATGCCTGGCCTTGGCAACCGCTGTTCTTTCACATTTGATATGTAAGAAAAATTTTCTTGATAGGATTATCAAACTTAGTCACCATTAAAACGAATGTTACTAAAATAAAGGTATTTTATAGTATAATTATCTTTCTAATTTAACATTTTCTTTTAAGAAGATAGATCTATTACAATGTGTTCATAGATTTACTGCCAATATTGCCATTCAACTGATAATTGGTAGTTCTTTTTTTTTTTTTTATGGAATAACAATTTGTGTATGAAAATAATGTGAAGAATTACCTCTATGATAATTATAAATGGTTGTTGTTGCATCAAGTCAGGTTACTGAGTCCACAGGCAGGTATTCGCATTTAAACATTAATTCCTGTGTTTCAGATTTATACCATCATGCTCACAAACCTACCCTCACTATTCAGATGTCTGTTTATGACAGTAACTGCAATCAGTCACATGCTATATTCACAACAAAGAATAACTGCAACTTTTCATCTCCAACATTTTCTATCTTTCCTCTGGCTTCACACATACTCACACTGAATTGTGTCAATATATTAATGTTATCATCCCACTTGTTATTTTTAGCACACTTGTATTGCAGTCTATTTAATTTTTCCTTCTACTTGTCTGTTTATTATATATAGTCTTTAAAGGATATTTTTTTGGTCACTATACAGTTTCTTGCTCAATTGCATTTTAAATTTAATTCTTTGTTGAGAATATATAGCCTTTAGTGATATAATGTACACTATCTCAAGTCAGCAAGTTGCCACCAATGCATTCTTAATCTTTCAAGATCAATATGTAGTTCAAAATTTACCAGTTACAAAACTAACTAAAACAAGATGTTACAAAACAGTAGATACACTTACCTTGTTTGTCACCTGTCAAAACCCATATCTTAATGCCAGCTAGGGCTAAGTTTGCTATTGTCTCAGGCACTCCATCCTGAAGCTTATCTTCAATAGCTGTGGCCCCAAGCAGAATCATATTCTGTTCAATTTCCTCATAGACACTATCCAACTTGCCCTCCCGATCATCCAAGGATGTGCTAAATAGATCATTTCATAAATGAACAGGTATGTAGTTACAGTAACATTTCTTTAATTGGGGTTAGCTTATGAAATATTTATATCTTAAGAATAATGGTATCCCAGATCACCTTATCCACGTATTCGTACATATGGCTTAGGAAAATCCCAGCTGGCAAACTTCAACTATATAGAATGGATTGACAGCATTCAGAAGTCACACCTGGAGAAACTATCTTGGCAATGCACACAGAAAGAGCTGACACGCTGGCCAGAGACTACACAATATAATTACTATTAGTGTTTGAAAGTACACTTAAAATATATCGAACATGACAATCTACTCCTACAATCTTAAACAACTGACACATTAGCTATGCAATACTGAATAACCAAACATAATTGATTGTCACTAATATCCATTATTAAAAAAAAGAGAAAAAAAAACTATATATAATAACCTAGATGATTCTAACAGGATACCATTGTTTCTATACTCCTATAGTCTTATACAACTGATATATAAGCTATGCAGCAAGGAATAACACAAACATAACTGATTAATGAAACAGGAAAATAAAATATACATATTATTAACTCAAATTATTAACCATATGGGTTAAACCAGATACTGATGTTTAATCTACTACTACCACTATTTTTCTTTCATAATAACATATTTCTTTTTCAAACAGTCTTAACTGTATGTTTAAAACTTTTTTTCTTTAGGTAGTCTTCAGCCAGGGAATAAGAACCAATTGGCTAGGGCATTTGTCATGAACTGTGTCTGTTAGGATTTTATTTTTGTAAATTTTAAAGAAAGTAATACATTAATTAGCACGAAAAGATGCAAAAGGTTTGATATATGCTGTCGTAACAATAGTTTGCGTCTGTTATATTTCTCCATTGTGCTCTCTTGATTCTAAATCTTTTGCTGCATCACCAGCAGCCTGTGCAGAGTTCCAATACTGATGGTGCTAGGTGTACATTGATTACATAATTGCCTTGCTTTATCTTTACAGTGGTCCTGGTTCATTTGCCAAAACAGGTGAGATTTTTTTCTTCTTTCAAGCAATTGCTGTGGGGGTTGAACCATCATATATGGGTAGCAGTTAATTTTCTGGAACTGTTTAAGGGGTGAGCAGTGCTGTGAACTTATCACGAACTAGCCCGCATGAAAAGAGTTCCCTCTCTTCCCATTCATGCCGTGACAGGTCGCATGGCCTGTCCTAGGTTGTGGGGGTATTAAGAGATGGCTTTATTCAGCGTTTGCTCACCATATATAATATTTGTGGGAGGTTGTGTTGCCGTAAGTCTCTTTGAGGCACTGAAGGTGCCTGTGTACAAGTAAGAAATACTACAGGGGAGAGTGTCGAAGGTGCGACTGTTCAGGCGTATTGAAACTGTGATATTTTTGTAATTCTACGTTCCCACCAGTACCCCCCCCCACCCCTTTCCTGAAAAAGAAGCCACTGACAAGGAACATAGGAATACACAAACATCATAGTTTCCATACTCCTGAACTGTCTGGCAAGTAACGCAATGCAGAAATAATCACGCAAATGAGCGGCAACAACATAAGAAAAGAGACAATGTTTAAACCGTTGAAAATAAGGAATACATGACACCTTCGTAACATAGGGCAGGCCATTAGACCTGCTGCAGCTTGAATTTGAAGGGAAAGAACTCTCGCTGTGCAGGCAGGTTTGTGATAATACCGTAGTGCTGTAATCAGGTAATCGCAGTTCCCCAAAAAATGTGCGAACCCCATATTTGCTCAGTTCCTGTGCCAATAACAACCACAGAGAATGCTCAACTCTGTCCCTTGTGAGAAAAAAGCTGACACAGACTACAGTCTCAGCAAATCCAACAGCATGCATGTGCATTAAATGCATAAGGCAGCAATCAGAAGTGTCAACACAAACACTCTGACACTAGAAATGCAGCAATGCAGTGGCTAGATGCTTGCTCGGCTGCTGAACCAAAAGTCTTGAGTTTGAACCTGCTTTGATGAAAGTTTTTATTGACAGGTCAATTTAGTCTTAAATTAGTACTTTTAAACTGAATACAAGTGAAATACACAAACACAGAACAGAGTAAACTTAAACAAAGGAGAAAGATAAGAAAAAATTCACGAAGAGAATAATTACCTGGCTTCATGGTGTCGTTTCTGCCACTCAAGAAAATAATCTTCATCAATGTATTTATAGGCCAATACTAAAGTTCTCAAACCTTCTTGAGCAAAGTCCTGCAAACAAAAGAAATGGGTAGCTACTACATTCAGTTATACATAGTCAACTTTGTGGAAAACAAATACTTTCTAAGTTGGCCAGGCCAACAGCAGGGCAGCTGTTTCTTGGATGACTGAGAAGAGTCCTGCAGTCAGTACAGGCTCTGGTCATGATGCACCACCACGTATTATTCAGAGCTGTCATATTCCTGTGATGTCTTTGAAAATTAGACCCTCATGCTATTTTCATTGTGTTTACATTTCTCTTTGGGCACTGCTCAAATTCTCTTGGAAGAGTTAAAAAATTTTAAAATTAGCATTATTTTTCTAGCAAAAAAAATCATTAAGGATATTTTCTAAAAAGCCTTGAGTTAAGAAAATGGCACTCAACTTCTTATCTTCTCATCTTGTGTCAACTGTAAAAACTAAACAAGTGATTCCAATTAATCAAAAAAAAAGAAAAAGGAAAAAAGCAGGCACACAGGCGTGCGCAGGCACACAGGCGTGCGCAGGCACACAGGCGTGCGCAGGCACACAGGCGTGCGCAGGCACACAGGCGTGCGCATGCATGCACGCACGCGCACACACACACAATAAAGCTTGCTTATAATATGAAGAAAGGGCATCAACAAATGCTGCAAGGATAAAAAGATAAGGGAAAACAAAATGCCCATATAAGCATTTATACTGAGCTATATACAAGTTTTCTGACTAAAAAGGTAAAAAGACAGACAAATATAATGTCGTATCCAGAACTGGAAAAGCATTATATAAATGAAAATTTACTGACAACAAAGATGAAAAAATTGATACTAATAGGGATCTTCAATTAAAAATAACAAATGCATTATACATGTTTTAAAAATTTAAAAAAAACACTGTCTCTAAAAAGACAATAAAAAGAAGCAAGAACAACAGTGAAACAAAATCAGACTTTCACTAACAGAAGTCTTATTTTACTATTATACATTCACATATGCATTCAGCATATTGTTGGTCTCGATATAATTTAGTTGAATTAGAACCAACAACAGCTGCTTGTAGTATTCTCACAAAAACACAATGCCTATCTTCTGAAGCCAGCACAAAGTTACAATAATTAATAGTGTCAGGAGCATACTGATTATTTGTCTTGTCTAGCCTTTCCTCCAAACATTGCATCTCAGTCAGATCTTTTGATGATCTTTCATCTTGATTATGTGCTACCAAAGGACTTTTATCACATCTGCCTTGTGAACATAATTATTTTCTATCATTCTGGCGGTTTTTTTTTTTGTTTTTTTTTTTTTTTTTTCTATAAAAAGAAATTTAAGTATTTAAAAAAATGACTCACGTTCAGATGATGCGTAGTCAGCTCTTTCAGTTCATCGCACTTCTTGTCCAGCAAATTAAACATGATGGTATCAGCACCTTTACACAGCAGCTGGATAGTGTTGTCCTTCTTCACGATAACCTTTTATCAAATGTGAACAAACATTAAATAAGAAACTCACAAGCGTTTGGAAGTCAGTGTGGTTTAGAGTTAAGAACACAGAAAATGTGTTTGTCTTAACTAATAAGTCGACAGATAAGGTATCTGTCCTCTCAGTGTTGTAGTGGTCTCATCTCTCTCTCTCTCTCTCTCTCTCTCTCTCTATATATATCTATATATAGTATATATATAGATATATAGATATATATCTGCCCTATATATATATATATAGATATATATATATATCTATATATATATATACATATATATATATGGCATCTGCTCTAACTTGAATTATAGTAGTCTACAGATGAAGTATCTGCCCTAGCTCAGTGCTGTAGTGGTCTACATATAGGGTATCTGCCCTAACTTGTGTTGTAGTGGGCTACAGATAAGGTATCTGCCCTAACTTGTCTTGTAGTGGGCTACAGAGAAGGTATCTGTCCTAGCTGAGTGCTGTAGTGGTCTACATATAGGGTATCTGCCCTAACTTGTGTCGTAGTAGTCTACAGAAAAGGTATCTGTCCTAGCTGAGTGCTGTAGTGGTCTACATATAGGGTATCTGCCCTAACTTGTGTTGTAGTAGTCTACAGATAAGGGATCTGCCCTAACTTGTGTTGTGGCCGTTATTCGGAGGATAGCCCAACTTTTAGTATATACGATTAGTACCTTTTCAGTAACCAACCAATGTTTTAACTGCTTCACACCCTAGTATGGGTTCACAATAAATGCATATAGCATGTGCTGAATATATGAAATTTATGGGACATTTCAAAATAACAGTGAACAAAGAAATGATTCTTATATAATATAATACAAGGCAACAGAAAAAGAAGAATGCATAGATGTGGAAAGCTTAGAGAGTTTAGAAACTAAAATAATAAGTAAATTCACAAGCAAGTAATGATTAATTATGTTCCAGGCTAGGTACCTGAAGGAGAAGCAGGGGCAGCAGCTACATATTTTGTTAATAGAAGTCAACACTTTTTTCTTGGGGAAAAAGCAAAGAATCCTGGAATTCCTCGAAATAATCCTTAAAAATGTACGTATGTGTAATGAAAAATTTTTCAGAAATATATGAAGGAAAACAATCAACAACGAAAATAGAGTGGAGAATTAAATTAAATATAAATGAAATATATTCCTTCGGCCTAAACAAAAACAAAACTAAAAATGTATACTGTAACTATTTCTTTGGCACTATCTCTATGCAGCCACTAGAGTGGAATTTTAATATTACAAGAGACTAGACAATGCAACAATGCTAATTTGGCATCTTTTCTGGGATTTGTAACAGGTGGTGATGCCAGATAGTCAGCGTCGCACAGCAAAAAATAGTACGTTTTCCAACCTCGTGAAATACTGTTTAGGATGACATTTTTCGTTCTTTTAAAGCAACCTACTCTGGACTTTTGACCAGTTCAGGGTCCCTCATCTTCCCTGAATTCTCTTTTAGTATATATATAGGACCTGTAATCAACTAATGTTCTAATATGGGTTTAGAATAAAGGCATATGAATGTGCTGAATATATGAAATTTATGGTGTTTCAAAATAAAAGGAACTGAACGCGGTTTCTGGGACTCGTTCACAGTTATCCTCATCCAATTGGTGGCACATTGTGTCATCGGGTGTTTATCGCTTGTGTGATGTCCTGGTGGGGTAGAAAGTCAGTCAGTCAGTCAGTCAGTCACGGCAAAAGGGGTCCAAAGTTAATAAATGCAGTGCAATAGCCGGATGTGATAGTCTAAAGGAGCAAATGTCACAGCTGTACTGCAAACAAACACAATACAACCAGCAAGAAGAAGAAGTAGCAAACTAAACTGATTCAGCAATACATCATTACTTACTGACATCCTTTTCCTAACATTGTTAAAATCTAGAATGCCTAAAAGTTGATATGTTTCCTCTTGACCTTGCACAACAATTGTGATAGTGCTTGGTGTCCTCGACTGAAAATTAAACAGAAAAAATATAGCCATTCAGCAAGCCAACAAAAAACCTGTTTATTTTCAGTATATCTGGCAAGAAAAAATGAATAAATAAATTTTCAATATCAAGAAATTTTACATGCCAATTAAAAACATCCTTTTAAAAAAATAATTTTTTTGTAATCCAATGACCTAAACATTCTTTAAACATTCATTATTTTCAATCATTTTATTATTCAAATCCATATTTCGTAAGCCAAATGTTATTGGTTAAAAGAAAAACAATGTCTAAGATATTAATGTTATTAACATCAAGGAGCATATCTTAAAAAAAATGACAATTAAAAATAAACATATATTGCCAAACTTGGAAAATTATACAAGATTCCCTCCTGTGAACTTATAGAAGACATAAAGTTATCAAACTAATAGACAAAAGTTGATGATGAAACATTATAGGAAACTGAGATGTTTTACATTCAAGGGTTTTCTAAGCTGAAAAAAAAACATTTCAAAACATTATTCCCTAAACTGAGAAAGTTATACAAGATGAGTGACCTCCTGTGAACTTAGTGAGTGAGTGATGCGTGAGTGAGTGAGTGAGTAAGTGAGTGACTGAGTGAGTGAGTGAGTGGCTGGAGTTGCTAAGTGGCTGGAGTGAATGGAGTAGAGTGAGTGGAGTAGAGTGAGTGGAGTGGAGTAGAGTGAGTAGAGTAGAGTGAGTGGAGTAGAGTGAGTGGAGTAGAGTGAGTGGAGTGGAGTGAGTGGAGTGGAGCAGTGGAGTAGAGTGAGTGGAGTAGAGTGAGTGGAGTGAGTGGAGTGGAGCAAGTGGAGTAGAGTGAGTGGAGTGGAGTAGAGTGGAGTAGAGTGAGTGGAGTGAGTTAGTGAAGTGGAGTTAGTGGAGTGGAGTGGGAGAGGGGGGGAGGGGGAGAGAAAAGAGATATTTACATTTGCTACAGGTGAACTGAAAAGATAACAATTATTTTACAATAAATTACAACACAAGAATGAGAAAGAAAGTAAAAATCATATAAATTAGATTAGACAAATAGGCATTTCACAGAGCAAGGGAAGAAAAAGAGTAAGGTAGAGGAAAGATAAAGGGACTGAGGGGAGAGGGAGAAGAGGCGAGAGACATCTATCAACTATTGCAGTTCACGAAATTATCATCATATCATTCCAGAGGTGTGTGCTAGTGCCACTCTCTTTAACAAAACAAATCAACACCACAATAACTTAACCTTACAGGAGACATCACAAACATGCTCCCACTGACACATCCTAATCATTTAGTCTTTACTGAAACCACTACCTGATAACACAAGAGTATAAAATTACTGCACCTTGAATACAAAACCAAAGTTCCTGGCTGCTGAAACCAATGCCCCTTCATCTGGAGACTGAGCCTGATACTCTAGAGAACCTAAGCAAAATTAGATGAAAAGGAAGCAAGTAAAATAACTACCATCAGGCCCTAAAAACTAACAAATAACTATTATTAGGCAAACATAACTAATAAATAACTTCTATTAGGCAAATATAACTAATCTCCCTCTGCAAGGGTTTAGTTGAATTTAGACTTTGCTGTATCTGAACATGACACCATCAACTAAAAAGCTTGGCTTAACTCTTTCAGGCTAAATTTAATTCATCATGCATGACTGGCTTTTTAATTTGAATTCCACACAAGTTATTATAACATTGTTTCTTTACTTATACACTAAGCAGCCACATCCTAAATAAAAACTGCTAACCCAGTGGTCACCTGCAGTGTGGATTCTCACATTGGAAATTGAACACTTTTTTAATCATATCTACAGTAAGAGTTAATGCTTTCATTTACTATTATTGTGATGGGCTTTTCATCTTTGATCTCAAAAATATGTAAATTTTGCTTTTACATTTTTCTTAATTTCTTGAGGCCCCAGAGATGTGGTTTTACAGAAGAATGCATAAAATACCTTATAGTTTACAAGTCTTTGTCAAATGGCATAGATTACGGCCGTCTGCTTCTGAAGGTGGTAGACATTTTTTAATGTCACTGATCAGAATGGCAATGTGCAAAGATTCTTGAAATTCTACACTAGAACTGCCTGTGTATCAGAAACTCATTTTTCAAAACTAAAGATTTTATATCTTCTTCTTCCCCTCCTTCTTCGATCTTTCTGTCAAAAAACTTACATCAGAAGGCCGGTAGCTTCTATGAAAGCTATCGTGCAGTCCATATCTTCTCGTGTAACATACAGTTTTGTCTTAACTGTGGTATTAACAGGTCAGACTGCGTTGCTGTTGTCAGTATACAGTTGACTGTGTTGGAGCATATGCTCAGCATTTTCAGGTGCCACGCTGCAGGGACACGTCTCAGTGTTTCGAACTAAGACTGTATATGATACCGGTATACTAAACCCTGCTCCAAATTGATATAAACAACTGTTAATACAATTTTCATCAGCTTACCATCTTCCTTGTTTTCTGGCATCACTGTGTGACACAGAGCCAACAGTTTGAAAAACTGATGAGTCATTTCATTGTTGTTGATAATCTCATCCACTAATCGGGAGTCATAAAACTCAAAGCCTTTCTCTGCATACGGATTCCAAGATAAATCCACTTTGGGTGTGTTCTGGTCATAGAATGTGAAAAATCATGAATTATTTCAAGTAAAGATAATCATCACCAATAATAATATGAAAAAAATATATTCAGTGCTTAAAAACAGACACACACACAATAATCTTTTAGCAGCATGGTTTTTGGAACACAAGGAACATAAAATGAAGAAAAATATAAAAATGTGTTGCCTGTAACAGTACAGATATTGTTGGTTTTTTATTTTAAACTAGTACTTAGAACCAACAATGAAGAAAAATATCAAATAGTGTTGCCTGTTCTAGTACAGATATTGTTGGGTTTTTCATAAGAAACTTAATTCTCTGGCATAAATGTTTACAAAATACCATCATCCTCATGTGCCAAGTCAGTTGAAGAACCACGATATGTGTATGTGTGCAAACATATCAGTTTGAATAATGGAAAGATGGTGGTATCAAAGAAAAGAATTTTTCCTAAATGTGTAAAAAAAAAAAAAAAAGTCAAAGATTTTATTTTGGGACAATTACAGGAATTTAAGTATCACATGGATAACATCAGATGGAAGATGCATTACTGAGATAAGAAACAGAATAGGACAGTCAAAAACTGCATTTTATAAAATGAAGAACATCTTATGTAATATATCTCTGACAGTGAAGGTTAGAAAAAGAATTCTTGCTTGCTATATACATCCAGTTTTAACATATGGCTGTGAGTCCTGGACAATCGGTAGCCAAACCACACAACTTCTTGAGGCCTTAGAGAAGTGGTTTTACAGAAGAATGTTTAAAACACCTTGGACAGCCAAAAAGAGGTTTGAAAGAGGCGGGAGCTGAAAGACAACTTATCACAGACATCAGAAGAAGACAGTCATCATTTTTCAGAAATGTTATGAGAATAGGGAAAAGAGAACATGTTGTGACCACTGGAAAGATCTGTTAAAGGAGGGATAGAGGAAGACAAGAGAGGATTCTTGAAAGTCTTGTTGCATGGCATGGAGGTGTCAGCACATGAACTGATACGTGTAGCAGGAGATTGCAGGTTGTGGAGAGGCATGATCGCCCATGCCAGTCGGCAAGGCACCTGATAATGATGATGATGTGTGCATGCAAAATGAGATGTACTCGAAGAGCAGCCAGAATAACAAGAAGAGACAGCATTTAAAATAAAGAAATCAGAAGAAGAATAAGGCTGAAACTAATCATTCAATTGATTAAAGAGCAACATATGATGGTCTGGCCATCTAATGAGACTGCCAAAATACTGACTACCACAGGAAGCCAAGCTGAAGACCACTGAGCAAGGGGAAGACCATGCAAACAGATGGAACAACATTAACAAAAACCTTGGCTAAATGAAGATCAACTAACACATTAGAAACAGCACACAGAAGATCCACACATCTCCTCACAAACACTTCAATGAGGTAGCTGGAGGAAGAGACAAAGAAGAAGTCTTACATGTTCCGTGTTCACCTTTTTTACCAACCCCTGCCTCTTCTTACAAGAAATAAATTTACCATCACTGTTCTTTACTAAAATAAAAAGGATCATTTTTCCATACCCTTAGGTGTATTGGGTATATAATGATATATTTCACAGACTGATCAGCACTCTGTGGGTGATGCAGTCACCATCATGAAGGCTGCCTTTTCTCCCCGGGACTTGAAGTAGTACCTACTTTAAACTGGATCTTCTTCTTCTTCTTCTTCGTGTTCACCGGCTGTAAACTCCAGAGGAAAGCTCTCACTGTTCGTCCACTTCTGGACTGCAGTCCTGTTCCAGAACCTGAGTGTTGCGTGTGCATCTGTTTGACATATCTGACTAATCTGTATGCAGACTGTTGGTCCCTTGCCTCTCAGGCAGATGCACTCCAACTTTGAAGAAAGCTCCCAATTAGTTGACTCTTACGACATGCTTTTGGGTAGGCAGTGGGTCTATTATTATTTTCCCTATAACAGGGCCCTGGAACCCACACTGGGATTAACTGGGTCAACCTGGGAACCAGTCATTTTTTTAAATTAAAAAATCTGGCACTAAGCACATTTGAACCCACGACCTTCAGGCTCACAGGTAAACATCTGGCTGCTACACCATAAAGGCTGTTTGTTTAATATGACCAAAGTGTTCCAGTTTCATAGACTTGCTGTTTACAGGCCAGTTTTCTCTGAAGTACAGAGCTTATAGTAAGTCAATATTTTTATCAGTCTGTGGCATTCTGAGATTTTCAAAATATAAGATTTCAGTATCTTCTTCTTCTTTGAGTTCTCCGGCTGTAACTCCGGCGGAGGGTTCTGTTCTGTTTGTCCACCTTTGGACTTTAGTCTTTTTATAGAACCTGAGTGTTGCATGCACATTTGTTTTATATATCTGAATTCTATGCATGCAGAGTGTTGCTTCCTTGCCTCTCAGGCAGATGCACTCCAAGTTCAAGGGAAACACTCCGGTTAGTTTCATGTTATTCTCCCCTAATAGAGTAGGTCACCTTTCATTCACAAATCTGCTGGTCTGATCGATTTTCCTGAAGGTTACGGGTGTGTCCCACTCTTTTGTTTGGTTTCTGCAGTGTCCTGCATTTATGTTTTCATTCCCAGAAAGAGAATGCCCGTGGCATAGGTTGCAGCTCTCTCTAGGCGGGTTGTGATAGACCCAGTTTCTCCATGTTTTTGGAGTGTTAAAGGCACTGGGGTGCCGAAATATACAATACGCAATATCAACGGCATTGTGGAACACCCCCATAACCTTGTGTGAAGGGCACGGGGCTCAGGAACTACCAATTGGAAGTGAGCTAGCATGTATATGGGCGGTCCGTGGGGAGACTAAAGTTAGTTTTACCAACACTCCTAATTAGATTTTTACTACATGCACGTTGAAGAGGCAGTGCTTGCTGGCTTCACTTCATTTGTTCCTTCAGTATAGTCATAGCTGCTGATTTGCAGTCATCTCTTTCTAATAACATTCAGTGTATCCACCCAATTCTTTGCTCTAATTCTTTCCTTTCTTACACCAGCACTATCTGCATCATTTGCTTCCAAACTTCTTTTTTTTTTCCATAAAAAGGGCAGCTGGCATGTCATGTTGTGGTTTACAGTTAGGTTGCCTTTTGGCTTAACGCATCCAATTTTAACAAATCTACTAATCTGATGTCTTTTGTGACAAGGTTGTTAGGGAACGGCGAGTCTATATGTTTTCCTTCAAAACTGGGAGCCCTAGGACCAAATTCAGCAAATACCAACTATTTCTGTCCTAATCAATGTTATATTTTTCATGTCTACAAAAAAAGGCTTCATGTGCCCTTATATTTATTAAATATAGACAGACATATTAAAGACAGAGAGTCGCCATGGTCAAGCGGCTAGATGCTCGCCAGGGATCGGAAGACCATGGGTTCGCTTCCTGGCAGAGCCCGACTATTTTCAAAAATGACCTTGGCTCCCAGGTCGATCCAGCCTTGAGTGGGTACTGGGTGCAGTCCCAGGAGGTAAAAGCAGCTGGCGTGATGCTGACCACATCACCCATCTTGTGCCGATTGGTCTATAAAAATATAAGTCCAGTCCTATATGCCCAAATGCCTAAAGGCGTGGAAAGTGGTCCTTTTACTTTATATTAAAAAGACAGCAAATATATATATTTAAGGTAAGGTGTGTATACCTTGTTCCAGCGAAAGTAAAAAACAAAATTTTTTTATTATTTCCTTCTGCAGGCATCAGCTGAAACCTTCTGTGATTAAAAGAGATAAAGATAAGATGATAATACTTTGGTAGAAAGCCCCCAAAAAATAAGTACACTTACATTTTTTATAAACCGTGGCTTACATGTTGCTAATATGCTTTATAATGCTGGGGTGCCAGTTTCAGTCCCATCTGTATATAATTTGGCAGTAGACCGCCTTGCAGTGGTTTTGACAAATGTATCGAGAGCTGACCATTCAGTGGGCAATGGCAAACTACTGAATGTAAATTTGCCTAGAAAAACCACAAAGCCAAAAAATGCTGCAGTTGGTTCTGTGCTGTCGTGGAAAAAACATGTTACTAACAAACAACAACAAAAAACTCACTAAAATATAATTATTCTATATTAACTAAAATATAATTATTCTGCATTAACCTCATTAATTTCAATAGGATTCCCGTCTCTGTCGACGTGGTCACCATATGATCTTCCATTGATTGAACACTTGTTGAAGTTCATAATATTCTGCAATTAAAACAGTAAATGTCTTTAAGAGAATTGTGGCTTTACTGAGCCACTATTGTTACATTTTAAGAATATATCTATTGTCACCAGATCTCTCTCTCTTTTCACTCATATATACACACAGAATGAGAGGCAAGCTTGACTAAGATGACAGAGAAAGAGGGGGGGGGGGGAGAAAGAGAGGAAGTGAGCGAGGGAAGAGAGAGAGAGAGAAGAGAGAGAGGGAAGAAAGAGAGACAGAGAAGACAGAGAAGAAACAGTATATTCACTGTTTGCTCTTACAAATGTGTGTGCTTTCTGAAACTGTTTAAATGGGTACATGCAGCCACTTACAAAAAACAAACTTATCGCATAGCCAAGGTACTGAAAATGGCCTGGATATTTTTTAACAAACTCTGGAAAAAAAATATTCCAACTATTCCAACATGATATTTACATTATGTGTTGGTTCCACATAATAATATTTCATAATCTGTTTAAATCACCATGGATCACTGGCATCATGAGGGCTAATAGACTTAAATGGAGGTAACATAATAAGAGAATGTCAGATGACAGAGGTAAAAATTGGGTACACAAGGGAGTTGAATGTTGCTAGACCATGAATCAGACCAAGAAGACAGATAATATCCAGACAGACCTACAAACACTTGGTGTCACTAAATCCCAAGAAGACAGATAATATCCAGACAGACCTACAAACACTTGGTGTCACTAAATCTCAAGAAGACATAATATCCAGACAGACCTACAAACACTTGGTGTCACTAAATCCCAAGAAGACAGACCTACAAACACTCCCTTTCACTAAATGATAACACAATGTGCCAACTGTTCATCTAGGAGCAAACATATATAAGGAAGAAAAAGATTATTTGCAGCAAGTATGATTTCTGCTATTCATGCAATAGGATATTTTCCGGGGCTACAAAGTTCATGCAGTGAGCATGTGTACCTAAAAAAGTAGACATTATTTTAAGTGTAGCAAAATGGTTCCTGAAGCAACCAAACCATCAAAGCATATTTGTTACATTCGATAGTCAATATTCATAACATTCAAAGCAAAGCTTTTAGTCAAGAGAAACACAGGTGCAAGCCAACCTTTTCGGGTGGCTGAGTGAATTACAATAGACAGTGAAGTTCATACTAGAGACAAAATTGCAGATGCAGATAATCTATTTCAAGCGAACGAAGAAAAAAGTAGAACAAGAAGATTACATTCACCAATATTCACTACTTTCAATAGTGAACATTCGTTACATTCAATAGTCAATATTCATTAAATTCAACAGTCAAAAAGAGTTTTGAAAAGATGTATAATAGATCTTCTTTGTCTACTCTTTATCCATCAATATAGCACAGACCTGCATCCAACTCAACACCTTTCTATCTTTTGCCCTCATGTGCTCTCATCCTTTTGAATTCACTCGTTAGTTCCTTCCTCCAGATGATTTTAGATCTGCCTTTACTCCTTTGACCCTGTGGGTTCCAATGCAAAGGCATCCTAGTTCTACTGCTATCAGATTTTCTTTATGTTTGTTGTATCCAAACATCATTTTTACCTCACTGCTTAATTCATTGAAATTTGTAAAAGTTCTTATTCCAGTTGATCAAGAGATGAGAAACTGTGACAATTTCAGCAAGTTACAGTTCGTTATGTTAAACATATACAATAGATCATCATCATCATTATCAATTTTCACTTCTACTGTTAAGCGTTTGGGGAGTAACAGTTTGCGATCCATTGCTTGATAGGCAGCAATGGCTAATGTCATTCCGTGTTTATGGTGAAGCTCTTGAATGTCATCAATCCATGTTCTCCTAGGGTGGCCTCTTATCTTTTCATGTGTAGCGCCTGCATTGATAGTTGTTCTGGCTGCATTCTTACTAAATTCTTACTAAAATGATTTTCTGCTTCTCAATGAATTTGCTGCATGATGTTGTGATAATATCATTTCTAACTTTTTATCAGATGGTTAGTTGGCAGCTTTTCTCAGGTATCTCATTTCTCAGGTGTTAATTTTATGTAGGTTAGACTTTGATAAAGTCCAAGTCTGACACTGGAAGCCCAGTGTTGGTATGAATACGCTGTTTATAATCTGTTTCTTAGCGCTCATACTTATGTTTGCATGTAATTAGTAACGGTGTCTGTTGGTATATAAATGCACTAGCCCGTTGGCATTTTATTTCGATTTCCCAGTTTATTCTTCCATCCTCCAAGAATATACTTCCTAGATATTTAAATTCTTTAACTTGCTTCAGACAAATACTGTTCAATCCAATATGCAGTGGACTAGGAATTCTGCTGACGTGCATTACTTCAGTTTTGGTAGTATTTATTTTCATGTTATATCTTCTGCACGTTTAACATAGCCTGTTTAAATGGTCTTGCAGTATACTCCACTTACTGTAGAACAGGCATGGATCATCTGCAAATAGTAGCTCATTTATTGTGTGGGGATCTTATCTTTCCTCTGGAAAGTAAGGTTCCTTATTTTCTGGATTTTCTGGGTCAACAGCTTTAAAACTGGCTACTTTTCATATTCCATCTATGTGTGTAGTAAATAAGAGAGGAGACAGTACACATCCCTGCCTCACTCCTGTACTGATTGTAAACGTATCAGACATGCCTTCTTGTGTTCCCACTGTGCTCTGGGAAGTGTGGTACATGGCCATGTTATCTAGCAACTGTCTTTGTATCCCATAATCCTCAAGAATAGCCCATAGTTTGTTTCTATCTGTGCAAGTGATAATCTCTGCAAATTACAGTTGTCTTTGTATTATATCTTAAGTGTCGTCCCCATGTGGGATGCAATTTTTAGTTATTTTGAAGCCCCACCCTGGCTTTTGCCGGAGGCACTAAATATAGCATAAATATCGCATAATGACTGAACAGGGCCAGGACCTCTCCACGGGTGATCCTCTTGGTGTTACCGGTTGTTTATCGCTTGTGTAATGTCCTGGTGGGGTACAACTTACCTACCTGGTTTTCTTTATTTTAAACATGTACAACCTACCTGGGTTAATGTTCCAGTTTTGTCAGAGAAGATGTACTCTATTTGACCCAGTTCTTCATTGAGTGTGGTTGTGCGTGCTTTGGCTGGGGTATCTTTTTTATCATAGTACATTTTGACATCCCAGTTGATCCACAGACTGTGTGCAAGACGGATGATTTCAACACTGCAGAGAGAGAAACATGCTTATTATTGTATAGATGTTGTCGTTGTGTGTGCATGCATTTTTTTCCCAACTAAGATAGGTGGTCATTATTTCAAAAGTAAAAAGACATTAGGGAATATTAAAAAGTGTATAAATCAAAAATACAATATGTACTTATTGTTGTGTCATCATAGTGTAGCTGGTACAATGGGTGCTGGTTGCCCAAGGACTTTTCACAGCATGGGGTGACAATCTCTGTGTGTGTGTTTTATATATATATATATATAAAATAAAATGTGGTGGAGGTGGGGTTGACAGGAAATTTTTTTTTTTAATACTGGATACCACCTGGTCTTGCTACACCATTAAGCAGGGATTTGCAGAAAGTTACTCCCATCACAGCTTAAGGACAGCCTTGCTGTCACCTGTTAATTTCCATTTTATGTATTTTCACATCGTAGGTGTTTTGAATGTCCTCTGTTTATGAAGTGGTCAACCACTGCATCTACTTCCAAGCACCATGCCTACTATTATGTGTGTAAACAACTGTCGTGTCTTCTTCTTCTTCTTCTTCTTTCTTCTACTTCTTCTGTCCTTTGTCTCCTGTTGAAGCATAATCTCTAGACATACTCTGCCGATCCTGCCCACCAACTTTCCATGTCATTCAAGTCACTCCATATTCTCCACATCTGCTCTATTCTGTGCTTCTGTAGTCGCACTGTATTAATGATAATACATGTCACAGGCAGACCTATAAACACATGGAGTCACCAATTGGAAAGAGAGGGCCAGTCACAGAGATAGACTGAGGCAGGTAATATCTGCAGTAATGAACATCAAGGGCTCAGAATGAAGATGACAACTCTCAATCAATACCCTTCAGAAGCTTATGGCCTGTCTGCTTTTAAGCAGAAAAAAAAACTTCAGCTAATGTTACTTATTTTGTGTTTTAAAAAAACAAAAACATTATGACCTTAAGACAGAGAGTGTCTGGCCCTGGAGCTGTTTAAATCAGACTTCTTCAAAACCAAACAGCATGAACCGTCATGGTGGCAAAGTGGTTAGTATGCTCGCCTGATGTGACTGGTCCAGGTTCAATCCCCAGGGTGGCAAATTTGTGAACTCACCTATGGATCTGTCTGGAGTGTTGTGATTATAGTCTTAGAAAATCACTAACATCCTCATCCACAAGGTGGCACTTTGTGTAATATGGTGTTTATCGCTTGTGTGATGTCCTGGTGGGGTTAAAATGTGCTACTACTACCTGGGGAGTCGCTGCTGCATAGCAGCAAGATGTTTACCTGCAGATAGGAAGGTCGTAGGTTCAATTGCTGGCGGAGCCTGACTTTTTCAAAAATGACCTTGGCTCCCAGGTCTCGGCCCAGCCTTGAAGTCCTGGCAAATAAAGGCGGCCGGCGTGATGCTGACCACATCACCCATCATGTGCCGATTGGTCTAAAAAAAATATAGGTCTAGCCCTATATGCCCTACACGCCTAAGGGCTTGGAAAAAGAGTACTTTACCTAATCACTAATGATTCACTCACTATCTAAATACAAGAAACAAAGATGTATATATGTGTTCTTACCTGACATAAAGTGAAATAGGCACTACAGTGTTCAAGATGATGATGTAGGAGAGAAAAACCAGGACAGCAATTGTGACAGCACCCTGCTCCTTTTGCCTATCGATGAAGGATTCCCAGGGGAGATAAACTTGGAAGTCGTATCCTGTCATCACCTCCCATATAGCACAAGCAACTGTGCAAATGAAGCACATCCCAACAAGACAACAGGGAACACATCTGCAAAGATTTTACCAAATTTATAAACATCAAACATTTCAGAAGCAACCTAT